TGAGCATCTTTTCATATATTTATTGGCCATCTGCATGTCATCTTTGGAGAAGTGTCTATTCGGGTCCTTTGCCTATTTTTAAATTAGGTTGTTTGGTTTTTTTTTTTGGTGTTGAGTTGTATAAATTCTTTATAAATTTTGTTTATTAACCCCTTATTAGATGTATCATTGGTCAATATAGTCTCCTATTCAGTGGTTTGTCTTGTCATTTTGTAGATTGTTTCCTTTGCTGTGCAAAATATTTTTAGTTTGATGTAGTCCATTTTGTTTGTTTTTTTTCTTTTGTTTCCCTTGCCTGAGGTAATATATCAGAAAATAATATTGCTACAAGAAATGTTTGAGTTTTTACTGCTTATGTTATCTTCTTGGATTTTTATGGTTTTGAGTCTAACATTTAAGTCTTTAATCCATTCTGGGCTCTCTATTCTGTTGCAGGCTACTGTTTTTATGCCAGTACTATACTGTTTTGATTATTGTAGGCTTGTAGTATAGTTTTATATCAGCTAGCCTCCAACTTGGTTCCTTTTTTTTTCAAGATTGCTGTGGCTATTCAGGTTCTTTTGTGGATCCCTATAAATTTTTTGAATATTTTTTCTATATTCATGAAATATGCCATTGGTATCTTGATAGAAATTGCATTGAATTTGTAGATTGCTTTGTGTAGTATGGACATGATATTAACTCTTCTTATTCATGAACACAATGTTTGCTTCCAATTATTTGTATGTTGTTAAATTTCTTTGTTCAATGTCAAATTTTCTAAGTACAGCTCTTTTACATCCTTGGTTAAATTTATTCCTAGGTAATTTATGTTTTGATGTGATTATAAATGGGATTGTTTTCTTGGTTTCCTTTCCTGATAGTTCATTACAGGTGTATAAAATGCAACTTATTTCTGAATGCTTATTTTGTATTCTGTTACTTTCCTAAATTTATTTATCAGTTCTAATAGTTGTTTTGGTGGAATTTTTAGGGATCTCTCTCTATAGTATCATGTATATATATATAATGATTATTTTACTTGTTTCTTTCCAATTTGGATGCCTTTTATTTTTTCTTCTTATCTGATTGCTGTGGATAGGATTTACAGTACTAAGTTGAGTAAGAGTGTGGTGAAAATAGACATTCCTATCTTGTTCCCAATCTTAAGGGAAATGATGGTAGTTCTTGCCCATTGAATACGATGCTGGCTGTTGATTTGTCATATACAGCCTTTATTATGTTGAGGTATGTTCCCTCTGTTCTTTCTATACAGAGAGGTTTTATTATAAATGGGTGCTTGATTATATGCAATATTTTTTCTGCATCTATTGATATGATCATGTGATTTTTATTCTTCATTTTGTTTATGTGCTGTATCACATTTATTGATTTGTGGATATTCTACCAAAGTCAAATCCCCAGAATAAATCCTACTTGATTATGGTATATGATTTTCTTAATGTATTGCTGGATCTAGTTTGCTAATAGTTTGTTGAATATTTTCGCATCTATGTTCATCAGGGATATTGGTCTATAATTTTATTTCTTTGTAGTGTTTTTATCTGGTTTTGGGATTAGGATAATGCTGGTCTTGTAAAAAGAGTTTGGAAGACTTCCTTCCCCTTGAAATTTTTGGAATAGTTTGAGGACCATAGGTGTCAGTTCTTCTTTGAATGTTTGGTAAAATTCACTTGAAAAGCTATCCAGTTTCAGGACTTTTGTTTGTTGGGAGTTTTTTGATTACTTCTTTAATTTCATTAGTTGTTACCTGTTTATTCAAATTTTCTGATTCTTCCTGATTCAATTTTGGAAGATTATATGTTTCTAGGAATCTATCCATTATTCCAGATTGTCCAATTAATTGTTCATAATATTTTCTTATAATATTTTGTATTTCCTTGGTGTCAGTGGTTACTTCTTTTATTTCTGATTTTATTTGCTGCTTTTAAGATTCTCTCTTTGTCTATAACCTTTGCCATTTTAATTATAATGTGTCTTGGTGTGGGCCTCTTTTGGTTCATCTTGTTTAGGATTCTTTGTACTTCTGTTACTTATATGTCTTTTTTATTTATCATATTAGAAAAGTTTTCAGTCATTATTTTTTCAAATAAGTTATCGATCCCTTGCTTTCTTTTTCTTCCTTCTGGTATCCCTATGATGCAGATGTTGTTACACTTGATGTTGTACTAAGGGCCCCTTAAAATCTGGTAAATTGCCTGCCTTTATTTCATTTAACTCTGTTTCTGGAGATTTCTCTTGTTCTTTTATCTGTGGTATGTTTCTTTGTTTCCCCATTTTGGCTGCTTCTTTGTATTTGTTTCTATTTATTAGGTAGATTTGTTATGAGTTCCAGTCTTGGTAGTGTGGCCTTATGTTGTAGGTGTCCTGTGGGACCTAGTAGTGCTATCTCCTTGGTCACCTGATCTCCTGGATCCTCCAGGAATGTTTTTTATGTGGATTACATAAGCCCTCCTGTTGTAATTGAGTCTTGATTTCTATTAGTCTATTTGTGCATGGGGTCAACCCTCAGGCTGGCTGATCATGAGAAGTGACCTGTACCTCAGTGTACAATGTATTATGCAGGTGCTGACCACACAAAGCAGAAGTCATCTCAGCAGGGTCTGGTGCCTGCCAGATCTCCCTTTAGATGTACCACTTATGAAGCTAATTGGATCCTGCTCTGATGTTATATGAAGCTGGCCACTGGGTGTGTTGTCCTGGGGCCTTTTGGGAGGGACTCTGATACAGGCCAATGTCTGATGCCATCTGTGACTGGCCCTGCACAACCTGTTTGAAGCTACAAAGCTATCCACAGTTTGTGGCTGCCTCTGCTGGGCCTGGGTGTGTGGGGGAAGGACTAAGCTGCACAACAAGGCCAGCTTTTACCAGCACAGGCCTGGGGGTAGTTCAGCAAAAGTCCCAAGGTACCCCGAGATCAGCTTCTGTCTGCCTCCACTTTTTGGCTGCCTGTTGCTTTCAGTCACTGCAAGAGCCTCTGGTGGTACTCAAATTGCACGCGCTATGTTCTCAGTGAGTCACCAGGTAGGAGTGAATGGTGTTCACCAGACTGATACAGGTTCAAACTTCGTGCCAGTGCTGGGTCTGAAGCCACTCAGCAAATGCCCCAGGATATACCAAATATATCTGCCACTGCTAGGCGCTCACACGCCTTCTTGGGGGGTGCGGTCTCAGGGAGCTGTTAAATTTTATCAGGCCCCAAAAGAACAAAATTTGGTCCTCTGAAGGGAGGGCTCTGCACTGCTTGAGTGTGTAGGGGACAAATGGCCCCTGTCACGCAACTCAGTTTGTTCAAGAGTCTGATCTCAGCAGGGCAGGGCCACCTGGAGTTGGGAGGATGGGTCTAGTGGATCTCCCAGGAGAGGGAGGTGCCAGTCAGGCTTCAGGGAGAGTGGCTGCTGCTGCAGAGCCACATAACTCAGTCACTGACACCCCTGAGTCTGCCCAGATCTCTACACCCCTGCCCAGGCAGCTGAGTACTCAGCAGGGAGCAAGCTCTGCAGGGTAGGGCCACAGGGAGTCCAGAGGGCGAGGCTATTGCTTTCCCCCAGGCTGATGCCATATGGAGGGGCGTGCTCCACCCAAAGAAGAGAGTGTGTACTGTGTGGGAGAGGGACTCAACACAGGTGTCCTGGCGGCTGTCCTTCAGCTCTCTACCCAGAGTCACAAACTCAGGTGTTTCCTCCCATGACTCTACTCTCTCAATGCTGAAGCCCAGGGTGAGCGGCTGCAAACAAAACTTGTACATTGGCCCTTTAAGAGGCACCTGTGTCTCTAGTGGATTCCTGTCTCTCCCTGGTGGACAGAACCCCTGCTGATTGTCACAGCCAGATGTGTGGGTGTCTCTTCCTGGTTCTGGTGCTCTTGGGGAGCCCAACGTGGGGTTGAGACCACATGCTTCTCAGAGGGACCTTTTGCAGCTGAGCTATCCCTCCAGAATCTCAGCTGCTTCCTGTGGGGGTGGGGCCAATCTTTTTGCATCTCTGCGCTTCCTTCCAGTCTCCATGTGGCTTCTTCTGTAAATCCTCGGTTATAAGACTTCTCTTCAGCTAGTCTTCAGTTGGTTATTTATGTTGATTATTCTAGATTTTAGTTGTAATTCCAGTGTGGTCCTGGGAGGAGGTGACTGTAATATCCACCTATACTGCCACCATCTTGGCTCTTAGAAAATCAGGGGGGTCCTTTCTAGCACCTAGACTTGATCTATCTCCCAGCTTCTTGAGCTCTTTGCTCTTCTTGACAGCTATTACACATTATTGAAATTCTTATTTATTGTCTGGTTTCCTCAGAAGTGAGTGGGGTGATCTCTGTCCTTGCGGGTACTTGGTATATGGAGGCACTCACTATTTGTTGGATGGACAAATGGACAACGACCTCTACTTAGGAGGACAGGCTCATCCTAAAAAGCTTAGGTGAACCAGTGTGCTATTTCAGGAAAGGAGGCAGCGTACGACCGCTTAGCCAACTCTACTCTGGGCCTTGGGAGAACCACTTTGCTTTTATTCAGTCCTCTGTCCACGCCTCTCCTACCATTAGAGATAGTCGTGGGCCTTGGCGGACAAAGGACAGAAACACCACCCGGTCTGACTCTAGTCTGGTCCTGTTGTGAGTCATGACTAGCTCTCCTGGCTCATAACAGATTGGGCTGCTCACCTAAAAAAGGAGACTTGATATGATTTGGGGCTAAATGTGTGTCTAGCTGATAATAGAGTGTCAGTTGGTTTGACCTGTAGTCTAATTATCACTTACAAACCAGTAGCAGGTCAGATTTCTGACTGAAGATTTGGGGTTCAAGAAGCAAAACCATTTTTACTGGAGCCATAACTAAATGCAAAATCTACCAGGCCAGAAGTCTCAGGATTTGGAATCCAGGACCAGCTCTGCCATGACCCGGGGGAGCCATGGTCCTGGTCTTATTTTTACCCTCCCAGAGTTATTCAGATGCTTAGATGAAAGCTTACATGAGAGAGAATTTTAAAAGCTATAAAATATAAACTTACTCATATTGTAGTTCATTTTGCTCCAGAAAGTCTGTCACAGTGGAAACATCTTCTGACTTAACGCGGAAGTCAACGGTACTGTGAGGCTGGATCTGGGCGACAGAATCCGGTTTCCAGAAGTCGATCTGCAGAAGGAATAAGATACATTGTATCGGACACCTATAATCTAATGGGGGGGTTGTCACTGGCAAGCTCACTATTGCTCTACTCCACTGAATTATTTTCAAGCTCAAATTATTCATGAAATCTTAGAGAGATATTCGTTGAGTAAATAAGAATAAATATGAGTTGTGACCAAGCAGTTAGACGTCAGTAAAAATGTCTATATGTATTTTCATAGCCCTAATTGATTATCAAGAAGCATGAAGGACATACACTTATTACCCAGAATGCTAGTTAATTGCAGTGTTCTATAGCTACTCTTTTCTATTTATTGATTTTCAGGAGCAAGTGCTAGCTGGAGCAGCAATGTTTGTGGTAATGGATAAATGTGCCGAATGAGTAACTAGAGCCACAGAATTTAATACAGAGAAATTGAGCTTTCCTTTCTGGTTTTTAATGGATTTATTATATAAGGAACTCAGTGTCGTACATGTCACAGTAATGTGTAGACCCAGGAGCATTCCTGACCTGAGGAGGATGAATAAGGTAAGAAAAATGTATCTTTCTACAGTGGTCGTCTAGGTACCACGGCCAGAAACAAAATACTCTCGAGGATCCAGTAATGTACTGACATTTTCATTTGTTCAATTATTCATCAACTGTTATTGAAGATCTGCTGTGTGCTAGGCTCTGTACCTGAGACTATAATGAGCAAATACAATAGTGAGCAAATCAAACATGGCTTCTGTCCTTGTGAGGAGTATTTTAGAGAAAGTATGCACACAAATAACAAGATGATGTATCTGGTGTTCTGATAATTTTCTTTGTGGGTGTGTGGCAAAATTATTTTCCATGGCAAAATAATGACCAAGTACATGCTGTATCCTGTAGGCATCTGTTTTCCTGTTCCTTCCTTGAGCTGAGTAAAGGCCTAGAAGCTTGAGGTGAGCCCAACCGTGGTCCTTCTCTACCTCTGTGTCTTGCACAATCCCTGCTTCGATGTTTGCAAGCTAGTCTCAGGCTGGAGATGTGACAGGCGGAGATACTTAGGACCATTGCTTAGAAACTTGGAAGGGAGTTTAGGCAGTCTCAGAGGTTACTGGGAACTGGCGAGGTAAAATATTAAGAGGACTCAGTTTTAGACACATCTATGTAAAATCCAATAGCCTATATCTTGTCCTGGCAATCTTCAAACCACTGTAGGTGTCCAGTGGGTGCTGAGTCCTAAGTCAGGGTCACAGGGAATGTCAGCGACTGGGAGGCAGGGACATGGGAATTACATCACAAGGGATTTCGGAAGAAGAAGGGTAAGTGTGGTTGTCACTCAGGGGTTGACAGGAGAGAGGAGTGATGATTGATAAGGGCTGGCGACAGCATGGGACCCAGCTGGTGAAAGATGAGAGGGTGAGGATGAGGTGTTAACAGGCAGTGGAGGAGATAGTAAAGGATGTAAGGACGGAGGAAATAAGGGAAATGCCACTTGGCCAGCATTACACAGAGAAGAGCAAAGCAGACACGCCCATTGTAGGAAAAAGCATATTTTAAAAACTTAACTCTGAATTTGTGTTTCTAATAAATGCTTGTCATTCTAGGGTGGGATGGGAGAGGGAGATGTATTTTCATAGACACAGAAGTTTAGAACTGGTCAAGAACAACAAGTCCTCCAAGTATCTGTAGCAAGTTGGCAGCACCCCACCCATACTAAGGCTGGGACCTACTGGCCTGTGTAGGGGTTGCTCACGGCCAAGATCTGCATTTCTGTGCTTGGGCGCTATTTCCCAGGGATTGGAAAAGGCCAAGCTAACAGTTCAAGGTAGGCCGGAGGGGCCAAGGAAGTGACTCTTCTCAGAGAAGTGCTCAATCTTGACCCCGGAAGTGGTTGTCGAAACACTCCAAGTCCCTCGCTTCTCAAGTGAGATGATCCTGAAGCCTGTGGTTTGCCCCTCTTCTGAGAGTCTCTCTGTAGAACTACGCTCTAGTCACCCTCTGTGGTAACTGGCTAACAGGGACCCGCCGTTGGCTTCTCTGCGTCACCCCCCACTTCTGTATCAGTGCTTCTTGAACTTTCCCAATAACATATTTGCCCACAAGTCTTGTCTGAGAGTCCGCTCTGCAATCACCTATATTAAGATGTAGCTTTTCATCAGAGCAGTAGATGCTGGCACAGTGTCCTTGGTGATGGTTCAAACACAATCTCGAGAACATCTAGTACCACTTCAGAACACCCTAATTATCTTACGGAGAGTTTTATTTTTGTCAGTAAGTTGACAGTCGCCTTCCCTGCTCTGCTAACCCCTTGCCCATTTTTCTTGGCTCTGCCAAATGTTGCAGGGGGTAAGGGGAGGAATAGATCTATGATCCTGCAGTAAGAATGATAGAGTCTTTAAAACACGGTGGAGGGATCTCATAAATATATAAGACAGAAGGCTTGCAGACCTAACCTGATGTTCCTTGTTTTAGTTGGACATGGAGAAACCGTTCAGCAAACCTACCCACATCCAACACTGTGGAACCCTGCAAGTATGATGCGGATTTATTACACTAAAGTTACTCCCCGGTGCTTAGGAGAAATGCAGCCAATAATCAAGAGCAACACATAGCCATATAGATATTTGCCAATGCATCAAGTATGGATACAAATGTTGAACTCAAGTTATTAACACAAGGAGATAAATATAAATATAAATTTCAGTAATTACCAGTAATTGCGAATGAGATTATGTTTCAAGTATGGAAATGGAGTAAAACATATAATATAAGATGTGGGAAATTGAATCATAAATTAAGACATTATACAACTGAAGTGATAAAGTTATAACCCAGGAAACGGAGTGACAAAGAATGATAAGGAACATTTGTTGGAAGATAAATTAATATCTTTAAGTGATAGCACTGTGGAATGTCAACTTCATCAACAGCTGGATAGTAACTAAAGACTCCTTCCTACAACATATCACAAAACTAAAGCAACAGTAAGATAAAGTGTGTCCACTACTTTATCTCAAGTAAATTCTTTATCTTAAATTCTGTTGGGAATAAAATGGGCATTTGAAAGCATATTGGTGTTGAGGATCTCTGGCTCTCCACAGACTCACACACATTTGTTACTTTACATTGCGTTAGACTTTAGGTTGAACATCTAACAGAACCTCCACTCATCTTGGCGGGGTTCTCCTTTCTTACTGGGCGTGGCAGTGACTTCTGTTCTAGGCCCGATTCCAAGGCGGGCCTTACGCAGCCTGACGGGAGTTACGAGAACATCGGAAGACTGTAACCAGGTTACTCTAGGCATAGGTAAACATGTACCTTAAACTAGAGAAGCAGGATTAAAAGTATAGAGAAAAGACAGCAGAGTTTATGGTGATGTCACCAATAGAAGAAAAAGTGCTACCCCGACTGCAAGGAGATAAAATAAAATCCTTACAACACAATTACAGATGAAAAGGGGGGCAGCTAGAGGCCAGTGTGGTCACAGGTCTCTCCACTACATTTAACGTTGAAAAGGACATGTTCAAAAGGGAGGAAGGACACGTGGCCAAGGATGAATACAAAGACTAGATGCCCTTGTAGTGATCTTATCAGGAAGGCTATAGCCCAGAATGTGCTGTACTTGCAAGACTGCTAAGGAGAATAAAATCTTTTTTCTTAAATTATTTTTTATTGATTTTTAGAGAAAGAGGAAGGGAGAGGGAGAGAGAGAGATGGAAACATCGATGAGAGAAAACATCGATTGGCCACCTCCTGCATGCCCCCCACTGGGGATCGGGCCCACAACCTGGGCATGTGCCCTGACCGGGAATTGAACCAGCGACTCTTGGTGCAGGGTCAATGCTCAACCACTGAGCCACACTGACTGGGCTAGAATATCTTTTGTAATCATGTTGGAAATAAAATGAATAAAGGAGCCCTGGCCGGTTTGGCTCAGCGGTTAGAGCGTTGGCCTGCGGTACAGAGAGACCCAGGTTCGGTTCCTGCTAAGGGCATGTACCTCGGTTGCAGTTTGTCCCCGGCCCTGGTTGGTCGTGCGGGTGGCAGCCACTCTATGTGTCCCTTCACGTCGATGTTTCTCTCTCTCTCTCTTCCTCTCTCTCCCTCCCACTCTATCTGAACAAAAAATGTCCTCGGGTGAGGATTAAAAAAAAAAAATGAATAAAGAAGAAATAAGCAACCCCACTGCTTGGAGCTAAAGCACTGTGTTTGGAGCTAGAAGAGAGAAAGTAGTCTTTTTAAATTCTGTTGCTCTGTTGTTTTCAAGGAGTTAACACTCTCTCTTGTTTCTTCTTTTTATACTGAGAGATGCAGTGAACAGAAAGACTTTCTCACATTATAATTTTAGTAAAAATCACCCTCGTTGGAAAGAGAACGAGGGGATAATTCTGGCCGTGTAAAGTGCCTTCCAATTCCCGGATGTAACGAACACTTGCATAGTTCTTATTAGATACATTCCTTCTAAGTCCTTGACTTACATGAATTCTTTCAAATCTCACAACAACCCTATAAGGTAAATACTATTATGCGGCTCATTTGATTAACAAAACAGTTGAGACCTAGAGAGGGGGGTTCAAGGAGCACCCAGCAAGGTTGAACCCAGACGGCCGTCCCCTGACCACCATAAAATGCTGCGTTGTAGGCGACTAAAGAAGTATTGGCATTGTGACTGCAGCACTGTCCCGGGACCGTGGAGGGACCGGAGCTTGAAGGGATCACTGACGCGAGCAGGGGCAAGTCTTGGATTTCATAAGGAGAAAAACAGGTGAACCCCAGAAGCAGGAGCTCCTGGGGCCTGGCGTGGATTCCGGCAAAGCCGCAGAGGAAACTGGAAGCAGATGGGTTTTGAATGCGCAGGGAAGGAAGCTGTGATCCCTGGGAGCCAGCATGGTTTAAAGCAAGACACAGTCAGGCCCAATTAATTTCATCTTATTGTTGGAAGAGATCAGCCCGGATGCTGGATCTGGATCTCAGCAAAGCATTTGACCAGGTATCTTCGTTTATAGGCTTCTTTACAAGCGGAAGCGCAGCTTTATCTGCAGGGAACACCCAGTAACATGGGTAGCTGAGCAAACTCATCCACGCAGAGTTGGCTACTGAATCACGTTCAGTGCTTAGCACTGCAGCTGGCACATAGGAGAGTATCAAATGAATAACCCATGAAGGAGGCTTCTAGTTCTGGGTGGAAGCCGGATTTACTTAGTATTTTTCTTTATAAGTGACAAAGATAAAAGTCGAGAAGGCATACTTATCAAACTTGCTGGTGATACAAAGTTAGGGAGAAGAATTATTGCTCTGGATGACTGAATTTAGGTTTCAGATGATCTCAACATGCTAAACCCAGGCCATCAAGATGAATTTTAGCAGGGTAAATCTGAAATCTTGCAGTTAGGTTAAAAATCAATTATGCAATTACGAAAGAAAGAATATCTTATTTGAGGGTGATTCATGTGTGAGAAAAAAATAACCTAATGGGTTTTGATTGGTCGTAGGTTTACCATGAGCTAAGAGTATTCAATAACTGCTCAAGATGCTAAAAAGAATCTTGGGCCCCATTAATAAATGTCAGCTTTACAAATGAAGGTAGGCGATGGTCCTGCAGTAGGTATTAATCAGAGCACACCTGGAGGTGCATTGTCAATTTGGAGAGCTACATTAAAAGAAAAAAATATATACATATATATTTTTTGCTCAGAAAGCTTGAGCAATATTCAGAGGTGACCAGAATGATCAAGTGTCTGTAAACCAGTGCTAAGAGAAACGATGGAAGGCCTGGAAAAGATACATCTTCTAGATAAGACAATATTTGGCTCAGCTCGCTCCAAGTTAGAGAAGGAAGGTTTCAGCTTCACATAGCAATTAGAGTGGTTTTTAAGGCTAATGGGCTACTGTGAAAAGCAGTATTGTTACTGTCCCTAGAAGTTTTATTAGGGTTAGCAACCAGGGATGCCGGGGAGGAAATTCCAGATCTGAATGGAAGGCTGGAATAGATGACTTTATATTATCTTTTAAATATTTCTTTTTCTTTATTGAATTTAGAGAGAGAGGAAGGGAGAGGGAGAGAGAGATAGAAACATCGATGAGAAAGAACATTGATTGGCCCCCTCCTGCACGCCCCCCACTGGGGATGGGACCCACAACCTGGGCATGTGCCCTGCCAGGAATCAAACTGGCAACCTCTTGGTGCAGGGGTCAGTGCTCAACCACTGAGCCACACTGGCCAGGCTACATTATCTTTTAATTCTAAGCTTTTGAATCTGCTTCACGTTAGGACACTGTCAACCTTCCTTCTCTCCACACACTTTAAAAGGTACAAAATCTATAGAAAGAAAAATAGCGGGTTAGATAGATGGATAGACATTTAGGAGCTAGTAGAATCTTTTGGTTTATATATTCTTGAAGAAACGGCTTTGGCTTAAGTGAACTGTCTGTGATCAGCAACAGCCTCCCGCCATACCATATGCATCATTAAAAATGCCTGTTTTATCCTGCGTTCAGTGGAGTTTTAAAAAAGTAGCATGAAGATTTTGGTTTCTTGAAAGTAAAAAGAAAACATGGACATCCCTCATGTCTTTTTACCTTCTTCTTGCCTCCCTACCCCCATGTCATATTACTAAGAGGGCCTGAATCAAGGTCATGAAAACTCAAACTATTTGATTTGGAATGAAAGAGAATCAAAGAGAACAGATGATACATGGGATGTGGAAATAAATTTCAAGTTGGACGAAAGCCCAGTTTTTCAGTAATATTGAAGTTCATCATTTTTCTTTCCTTTTTTTCCTTAGAAGGGAAATGACTGCACATTAGATGTTCTATGACCTTTGTGAAGTTCCAACTCACCCAGTTGTCATGCTCTGTCAGCTCTTAAAAAAGTTACTTTGGATTTATAATACTATGGGGCTTATGCCATCGAATTTAGGTAGAAAAAAGAGGTAGGTGGCATTAAATGTTTTTCAAGTTTAAATTTCTTGCTATAAAAATGCTATAGTTAATATTTTATGTCATCCTTCCTTTGATGGAATCACAGTGCAGGCTAAGCTTTTAGGGTGACTGTGAAGCAAAACTATGGTGCAGAATTGCTATTTACCTGGCTGATGCTGGCCAACTCATGGAGCAAGTTGATGTGATCTTCATCTTCAACAGTGACGCGGAACACCTTCTCGCTAAGGGCGAGATAGCAGAAGGAGGAGGTACAATTTTAAACTGGGTAATGCATTCAAATGTTGGGGCCAGCAAGGAAGAAAGACTGGCTCATTTAAGGAGTCATTTACTTACCCTTCGAAGTGCTCACCGGAATGGTGAGCAGAGGCTAAGGCTGCAGCAACGAGAAGCAAGAAGGCCAACATGGTGCCTGACTAGGTTTTTTGGGTATGTTTCGCCTGCTTTTATAATCCAGGGTGTTCTTTGCTTTTTTCCTTCTGATTGCAGATAGGCACTATCATATGCTGATTAATGTTTTTCCTGGCGTGGCTGCCGTGCTGGCTGTGCAAAGCCTGGGAGGAAATCTCTCCCCACACCTGTGGGCACAGAACAAACACTCTCAGCTTCAACCTGTGTAATTCGGATGTCACACCTTGAACAGCCTGCAGGTAATGAGTCTTACATAAAATCTATTGTGTAGTCTCTTTTTAAATGTTGAATTGACAATCGCATATAACAAATCCTACAGACTTTTTATTATTTGTCTAATTTTATACAATTATCACAATGTCTTGGTTATTATACTACATAGTAAGTCTTAAGGTAATATAGTATGTAAGTCCTTTAGCTTTGTTCCTTTAGATTGTTTTGGCTATTCAAAGTACTTTACATTTAAATATATATATGTATATGTATATATGTATATATAAAAATTGGTCAATTTCTATGAAAAATTCTGCTGGAATTTTTTTTTTATCCTCACCCAAGGACACTTTTTGCATTCATCTTCAGATAGCGCGAGAGGGAGACAGGGAGGAAGAGAGAGAGAAACATCGATGTGAAAGGGACACATCGACTGGTTGCCACCCACACAACCCCAATCAGGGCCGGGGACAAACTGCAACCGAGGTACATGCCCTTAGCAGGAAGTGAACCTGGGTCTCTCTGGACCGTGGGCCGACGCTCTAACCGCTGAGCCAAGCCGGCCTGGGCAAATCTTGCTGGAATGTTGATTGGGATTGTACTGAATCTATAGAGCAATTTGGGGAGAACTGATACCATTATGATATTGAATCTTTCAACTCACATACATGTTATCTTTGTGTGCTTCTCTGGGTCTTTGTAATAGAGTGTGAAGGGTCTGAGATTTTATTCTGTCTTCAGGATAAAAAGTCATCCTGCCAGAGTTTCACAGATGCTGTCAGAAGAGAAGAAACTGCGGGGTCAGAACCCAAGGACTTTATTACCTGTAGCACAGTGGGTGGCATCAGCTTTATCTTTGTATCAGTCCTGTTACTGCCCAGACGTGGGATGATGTCTGCTGGGCCCACAGGGATACTTGGTACCAGGTCTGTGTCCCACGTGAGGTATACCGAGTTTAGGAAGCTCCCGATTTCATGGGCGCTGCTAACACATCTGGCAAACCTTTGCTCCAGAGGAGACAGACGTTCGTGTTGCCATCCTGGAGTGGGAACAGAACCTTCGTTTCCCTACACAGGCAGCTGCTACTTCTATCTCCCAAGCTGTTTGTTGCACAAACATCTTTGAAGAGATAGTTCAGAATAAAAGCTGTCCTGAGACATGCAGAAACAGAGGACTCCTCGGAGAATTGTCTCTCAATAATACCTACCCCTTTCTCTATACGCTTGACTTCTGGTCAATTTTCCCAAGAGTATGCTCCTCTCTTGGTCACTCTGATTCATCTGACTGACAGGGGCTGGGACCAAATCCTTTCAATTTGTCTAATGTGGCACTTAATTAAGATGACTATCAACAGGACTTCAAGCAGCATGATAAAATCAATTTGTACCATTGACCTCAGCCAGGACTCCCCGGGGTACTAGACCCAACAAGCTGAACAAATTCCATAAACCATCAGTGTCTGCTTTAGAAAGCCAGGTAACTTATTCTTAAATTTCAGAATTGACTATTCCTCTTCACCTGAGGCAACAGGATCTATTAGCTATTGCATAAACTTCGCCATGGCCTGCAAGGAGGGAATCTAGGGCAAGTCTATCATGGATAACAACCCTGGTCACAACCAGCTAAACGAAAGAAAGAACTCATTGATCATTTATGTTTCTGTAAGTTCAGCAATAGAGCTGGCTCACAAGTTCAGTTGACGGTGTTTGTTAAGTCTGGGTCTCTCTTTTCTGTGCAGTTTTGCATCCTACTGGATTGGCAATCGTATTGGAAAGATAGTTTCTTCTTCCCCCAAATTCTATCCCAAGTTTTCTGACCGACTCTCAGTGGACTGAGTTGACATGTGTGTCTCTCTGTATTGTGAGCTCTTCTGTGGTCAGGATGGTGAGATGTACTGACGGTCAGGCCTCAGTCATTGGACAAACCCTAGACCCTTGGCATAAGCCCTACACAAAATACCCAGCACAGCCAGTACTGCTGTCCTTGCCACCTTTCCCAGGATGGGTCTTTAACAGTCCTCACTTGTGTTTGTCACCGGCTCCCTGTCAAAGTCAGAGCCCTCAGCCAGTGCCCTAGCTGCAAGAGAGGCTGGGAGCGTGGGAGTCTGACTCTTAACTTCCACAGTGGGCAGAGTCTTTGCCTCCGATGGCTCTTGGGCTAGAACATTCTTCAGACTTAGGGAAGGGGTTCAGATCTTGATGGCTAAAAAGAATGACAAATATATACTGAAGGAGCACATAATCATCTGTGGGTGACTTGTGGTGTGATACTTGGAACTGTTAATATACTAGAGTGTTTATTTCAACTGATGCCTTTTGAATCCAACTGGAGGACAATTAGGGTTTTCAGTTAGTAATTAAAATTTGTTTTTGTGTCCAGCAGGTGTGGCTCAGTGGTTGAGCATTGACCCATGCACTAAGAGGTCATCGGTTCAATTCCTGGTCAGGACACATGCCCAGGTTGTGGGTCCAATCCCCAGTGGGGGGCATGTAGGAGCGGCCAATGGATGTTCTCTCTCATTGATGTTTCTCTCTCTCCCTTCCTCTCTCTTTAAAATAAATAAAGGAATAAAAATTAAAATTTGTTTTTGTTAGTTGCAATAATTTCTTTATAGATATTGAAATTTCTGCTCCCCATCTAATATCTAAATATTTAAATTGTTCTTTTTTAATGCAAATCTTTGACAATTAATAAGCCAAGAGGCACCTGTGCGTCTGTTTGTGTTTACTGTAACAGTGTGAGATTTGGGAGAGTCTGTAGACCACCCCGTGATGTAATTCATCCTGTGAGATGCCTCAGTTTCTGCAGAGCAGTTCCAAACACATTCCATGGTGTTCAATAGGAAAGTGTTCTGAGGTCCAGTGTTTTGCTTTAGACTGAAACAGACAAGGTCTTTTCAGGTAGGGCTTTTGAGAATCTTCAATGAATTCTGCAAATCTTAAAGAAGAGACTATGACACAGCATTTCGCCAACATAATTCACAGGAGTGCGCCAGGTTAGTGAAGTCCAGGTAAAATGAGAAGACTTGGGACCATTGCCACACTCCTAGGTGTTTGGCTGTGGGACATTTTCTTCAGAAGCATCACTTCGGCCCCTTGTTTCTGGGAATTCATTTTGGAAAACTAGACTGAGTTCACAACTGGAATCACATTACATTAAACGTCTGGCCCTTTGGATTCTTGATGTGTTTTGTTCAAGGCCGAAGAGTTTACTGTGACGTCAGTGTTAAGGTCACTGGGTTAAGGGTGATGGGGTATTCAGAGAAAAATAGGGCTTGGTTTCCTGCTTGCACGCCCTGCTGTGGCAGGCAGGCCGTGAGTGAGCTCAGATATTCAGGGAGTGGTTTTCTTGACATGTTTCTTTTTTGTTTCAAAGTGTGGGTTTAACAACTGGGCAGATTGATGATTCTGGGCCAGCCATTTTCTCGACTTGAATGTGAACTCAAACTGATACGGTAGGAGTCAACAGGGGGCGAACGAAGGGGGAGAAATCAGGGAGCGTGTAATTTCTGTTAACCCAGGGCAACCGTTCTGAGGCCTTGGGGGCGTTCAAGTGCTCTGTACGCGTTATTTGTGTCTATTGGCTATTGAATAGGAAAACTTTATAGAACAATTATTCTCTCAGAGATCCTGCGTGGCCAGTAATTGCTAGACCATTTCCTATGGAAGGGGAACACTGTTGCTTCAGTTCTGCTGCTGAACACCACAGAGGGTTTTAGGTGATAGGAGAGCAAAGCTCCTCAATGGGGCGATATTCCTGAAAAGAGTTAGCTTTTGTTTTTGTTGCAACCCATCGAGTTAGCTAATGGTTCCGTCAACTCGGTGAAAGTACTGCTCACACCCTTATCCTAACTGAACTGTCCAGTTGTTTGTGGAGCATCCAGTTTCTCTGTACCCTGATGGGGGTAACTGATTGATGACCCAATTTACTGGTATTGCTGCAAGAAGGGCAAAAGCAACCAGAAAATGTTATCCAGGTGCACCAATAGCCTGTTAGCTTAGTGTAAGTATATTCAATATTCTATTAAACTGCCTTTTCATGGATATGAAGAGGGAGGCTAGTAAATATTTTCTTGGCTGGCTTTTCTCTTTGGCATCCACTGATGTTGGGATAAATATATATATATACACACACACATACATACATATGATCATCATCATTAATGGGCATAGTCTGCAAATCTCTGGTGGGAATGTTGTTTGTTAAGAACTGCAGACCAGTATTTTTTGAAAGCTGGGAGATAAATAGAACAATTTCCTCCCATAAATCTTACCACCTGACTCATCAATTTGAGGTTCCTTATTGAAACAAGAAAAACATCTTTAATCATGCAAATATTTGGAAACTGCAAGCATATCTGTATTTGGAATTTGGGAGATAATTAAAATGGACAAGTTATGATTGATTAGCTAATGAAGAATGGGTTAGTTAGAAGGCAGTAGGTTCTTTTTTCAGCCTTGTATCAACACTCCATCAACAGGAATTAAGAAAACAGCATAACTAGGCTCCAGCTCCTTGCTGAGGGCAATTAATCAGGCCAAAGGCATGGGGAGGTAAATTGGAATGGTGCCAGATAAATCAACCTGTTTTTGTACCTACACTTATCTTCGTTAATTCTTGTAGACCGTCTTAATATTTTGATCTTTTAAAAAATTATATCTTTAAAATTTTTTTTCTGTATTGATTTTAGAGAGAGAGGAAGGGAGAGGGAGAGAGAGATAGAAACATCGATGAGAGAGAACATTGACTGGCTGCCTCCTGCACGCCCCCCACTGGGGATCAG